ATAGCCAAGAGTTCATCTATTTTTTATTCCATTGTGCATATATACATCTTTTTAATCTGGTTATACACTGATTAATTGAACAACCTTATCCTCAAAGCCACTGTTATTTTGAGTTAGGTGAATATTTTGACCTTTCTAATATTTTTAGATTTTTTCTCCTTCTGTTTATGGTAGTTGTAATTGACTTATATGCCTTTAATCTGAAAGTAAGAGTAACGCTAAAATCTTATAACATTTTGAAATGGGGTAGAATATTGTGCCTTTACTCTAAAATTGAGAGAATAAGAACAATAATATGAGAATGTAATTTTGTCTCATGCATCTGTTAAGGAACTTGTGTCTAGAATATATAAAGAAGTCATACGGCCCTCCCTGGTGGCACAGCGGGTTAAAACACTGCACTGAGAAGCTAAAGCCATTTCCGCATGAGTTTGATCCCCCGCCTGCCCCAGAGGTGACCACATGGCGCGGCAGACTTCTCCTGACCCGCCCGCTGCTCCCCTCAGCAGTGTACTTCGTCGATCTGCCTGTTCTGCTCCCTACTCTGTCTCTGGTGAAGCCTCTCACCCCCCGCATCTCTGGCCTGTATGAATAAATAAATAAAATCTTAAAAAAAAAAAAAAGTCATACAACAGGTCCTCCCTGGTGGTGCAACGGATTAGGATGCAGCACTGCTAGCTAGCTGCAGCCGCTTCGGTGCAAGTTTCAATCCCTGGCCCCGGAGGTGATCCACATGGTGCGGTAGACCTCTCCTGACCTTCCTGCTGCTCCCCTCAGCAGTGTACTTCGTTGATCTGCCTGTTCTGCTCCCCGCTCTGTCTCTGGTGAAGCCACTCACCGTCCCTGTACCTCTGGCCTGTACCCTAGTTATGTATGCATAGGTAAAATAAATCTTAAAAAAAAAAAAAAGAATTAATTTGTAAAAAAAAAAGATCAGGGGCCCTCCCTGGTGGCGCAGCGGGTTAAAGCACTGCACTGAGAAGCTAAAGCCACTTCCGCATGAGTTCGATTCCCGCCTGCCCCGGAGGTGACCACATGGCGTGGCAGACCTCTCCTGACCCGCCCGCTGCTACCCTCAGCAGTGTACTTCGTCGATCTGCCTGTTCTGCTCCCCACTCTGTCTCTGGTGAAGCCTCTCACCGTCCCGAGCCTCTGGCCTGTACCCCAGTTCTGTATGCATAAATAAATAAATCTTTAAAAAAAAAATCATACAACAATAATAAAATAATAACCTGGCTTTAAAATGGGAAAAGATGTAAATAGACATTTCTTCAAAGGAGGTATGCAGATAAGCACATGAAAAGATTCTCAACATCATTACTTATTAGATGATATGCCTTCATCTATAGTAGAATGGCCATAAGCAACAGAACGGATAATAGCAAGTGTTGGTAAGGATGTAGGGAAACTGGAACTTTTACACACTGCTGGTGGAACTATAAAAGGGTCCATTGCTTAGAAAAACAGTCTGGCAGTTCCTCTAAAGGTTAAGGGTAAAATAGTATATGACCCAGCAGTTCCTGTGTGTATGTGTAATAACATAGTGTGTACATACACACCCTGGAGAAGTGGAAATACACACAGATTTGTGCACTAATGTTCATAACAGTTTTTCACAACAACCAAAGTTGAAAAAGCAATCCAAGTATCCATCGGCTGATGAATGGATAAGTAAAACATGGAATATGCCAATATGCCATCCAATAGAATACTACTCAGCCACTACAAGGAATGAAGTACTGATACATGCTGCATGCACAGACTTTGAAAACATTGCCTTAGTGCAAGAAGCCAGGTACTAAAGTCTGCATATGTTGTATGGTTCCACTTACATTGCCTGTCCAGAATCTTTGGTGGCGGTACATTAATTGTCTAGGATGGGGGGAGGGAAATGACAGGATTAGGTGTTTATAGCTAAAGAATCAAGGCTGCTTTTTGACATGATAAGAGTATTCTACAGTTGATTACAGTGATGGTTCCACAACTTCCTGAGTACACTAGCAAGTAGTTTATTGTATACCTTCAATCAGTGAATTATAGGATATATGAATAACATCCCGATAAAGGTATTAACAATAAGTTAGTAATAGAATTGAAAAACTTGCTATTAACCAGTTCCATTCCTGGGGTAGCATTATTATTAAAATTGATCATGGGAAAGTCCTCAGTTTTCCCTTGGTAAAAGTTATGCTCTCCTCCTTTTCCACCAAATTGCTTTTACTCAGTATCTTTTTGATAAGGCATGACACAATTTTCTGGAATTTTGTGGACTTAATTACCACCATGCTTCTGAGAAAATTGTGTTGCATGTTAGAGATAAGCAGTCTTCTGTTTTAACTATCTAGTAACAAACTTTCATCAGTACTAAGGCCATGTTCTAGTTGTGTGACCCTGTTGTCAAGCCTGGTTTTTCAGGGGATAGTTTTGAAGATTATTTTAATAATTGGGAAAGATGTCATTAATAGTACTCATTTTTCCTCTGCATTGCATTTGTATAAAGGGGCTCTTATAGCATTCATGTGCTCATTTAGTATATGACAGTTTGGTATCTGATATAAAATAGAACAAGTAGCTGTATGTATAATGCATTAAAATAATAACTTGGCATTTGGTTTGATATCATCAATACTGTGTGTTATTTGGGTATATTACTGGTTTTACAAAGTTTCTGCAGTAATGGAATCTAACAAGGTGTTTTCTGTGAGTTCCTCATGAATTCTTTGTAAACTACTATCTGGATTACATTTGAGCAACACTCCTCTGGGGTATGTATTATATATGGTTGCGAGTTAAAAAAAATTGTGTCCTCCCTGGTGACACAATGGGTAAAAGCACAGCACTATGAAGCTACCACAGCCACTGCAGCACGAGTTGGATCTCCACCCCAGAGGTGACCCACATGGCACAGCAGACCTCTCCTGACTCACCTGCTGCTCCCCTCAGCAGTGTGTTTCTCTAGATCTCTGTTCTGCTCCCCACTCTGTCACTGGTGAATCCTCTCACCCCCTGTATCTCTGGCATATACCCAGTTCTGTATGGATAAATAAATAAATCTTTAAAAAAAAAATGGAAGTATTTTTAAGAGTCTTTTCAACATTATTTTGTAATTTAAAAAAAAATCTGAATTAGGTTTAGACTTTGGCATCAAACCATTACTTTGAAATAGACAACTCACTTCCCCTTAATGCATTAATTATTTTAAGAAATGGGAGTATTGCATGCACATTATTTAAAAAATTTCATGAAAAATAAATCTTTAACTCCCCAGGGGAAAATATCTGTTTTGGTTCTTCATAACTCTTAAATAATGTATAAAGCTGGAACTTTAAAAATAAACCACATTGAAGTAAAACATACATTTGGAAAAGCGTACAAATCTTACATGTTGGGACTTAGTGAATTTCCCTGTTACCCACTTCCCCTTGCCCTTGGTCAAGAAATAAAATAGTAATCAAATACCCAAAGAAGCCTACCCCTAGCCGTCATGCCTCTCCCAATCTCTAGCACTATAGATTCGCTTTGCCTGGTTTTGAACTTTATATATAAATGGTTTCCTACAGTCTATTCTTCTGGCACCTTCTGCACAGCATCCTGCAAGGTTCACTTGGTGTTATTGCAACCATTAGTAACTTGTTCTTATTGCTGAGTCAAATGAACAGGTCACAGGTATCCAGTCTTCTGTTGGTAGAAATTTGAGTTGATTCCATTTGGTGGCAAATAAGAATAGTGCTTCTTTTTGACTGTTGGCTGCATGTATGTACAAACTTGGGTAAAATCCTAGGAGGAGAATGAAATGGATGGAAGATGTTCCTATTGCCAAAGTGTTCTCAAAGTGGTTGTACCAATTTGTGCTTCCAGAAGCACAGTACTTGGTTTATCAGCATTAGAGTATAAAAGATAAGGATTTACTTCTGTTGGCCTCTTGCCCACCACCTTCAGCTGGATAGGTCTCTAACTTGAAATAACTCTTTGCTATAAGAGATGTTACACACCTCCCCCCTCAGTTGTGTTATTTTTTTTTAATTGTGTTATTTTTAAAAAGGAAGAGGCTCTCTTTCATAGAGAGGAATTTGTGCCACCTCATAAGACCAAGCAGTATTAACAAGAGGGGAAAACCCACATAAATAAAGGGGATTAATAGTGTGATAGAAGAGAGGGTAAGGTCGAATTGCTGATTCAAGGGTAAAATACTAGAATAAAGCCATCTCTGCCATGCTTGTCATCTGTGTGTTAGGGCAGGGGTAGCTGCTTAAAACATGTCTCAGAGTTACTGTAACTTAACGTGAGAGAACTTGTCTTACTCCTCTTTAGCCAACGTAGGTATTTGTAGGAAGGAGGGCCTTCCTTGTGTGTACGTGGAGTTTAGGGGCCCAAGGCTGCTTTCAGCTGTGGCCCTGCCATCTCTTAGAGTCTTGGAGACTGAGACCTCTGCGTTCAGCTAGAGGGGGGTAGAGACGTAGTGATGGGGAAAGATGTGTGCTTCTGAGCAGGAAAGTCTTACCACAGAAGGGGTAGACATCGTCTTTGTTCACGTTCCACAGTCGAAACTGCACGTGGGAGTCCCCATCATGCCAGGAGCCTGGGAAATGTAGGCCCTGGCTGCGGACTGTACTTGGTAGCTAGCACACCATCTCGGCTGCCCCAGCCCCTTGAGAAGCCAGAATAGTTCATGTATAATGACCTGGGATCAGTTCAGTGTGTAAAGATGCTAATTATTTTGAGTGGTGAATTTTTATGGGAAAATGAGTTAAGATTCACAACTAAATGGCAATTTGTTCTTTTTGTGGAACCACTTGTGCGATTGCTTTAACTTGTGATTTTCTCATACTTCATGGTTAGGTCACCTCTCAGTGGAACTTAGAAGCTGCCATATTTATATGTTTTACAAATCACTAAGAAAGAAATACAGCTGTCAACCTGTCATACACTGTTGGTTATAGGCAGTGATTATATTTTTATTTACCTCCCTGCCATCTTCTATTGCCTTTCCCTGTCTTTAGTTTGTGATAGGCACAACAGAAGAAGCTGGAATCTGCGGGCTAGGGGTGAAAGCAGATATGTTGCATAACTCTCAGTCAAATGACATTCTTCAACATCAAGACTCGCACTGCGGTGGCACAAGTAACAAGCACTCACGGGGAGATAACGAAGGCGGTGACTTCCTCACAAAGAACCGGGAATTGATGAGCCAGGCCTTCTGTACACAGGCGCCGAGAGAGGGGATTCCTGGGCGAGAAGCTCGAACAGATCCCCCTGACGGTCGGCAGGACTCGGAATGTAACAGGAACAAAGAGAAAACCTTAGGTAATAAGCCCTGCTGGGGGTTCTGGCTTTGCTGACTTTCCCGACTTTCCCCTGGGCCTGGCCCCCCAGTTTAGGGCCATGTTGCTGCTTGGTTTTGAAAGGCTTAGCCAGCCTTGTGCTGCTGGGAGGGGCAGGGGCAGGTGATAGCCAGGAAGTTCAGTTCTTTCTCTCAACTAATCAACAAGCGGCTTCAGAATTTTTGAGGTAGAATTTAATTTCCCTGGTTTGTGTCTTTAATGTTAGCATGACCAGAACATAGTATGAAAGCTGGGTTTTTTGATAACTTTTTGTTCATTAACTAGTCAGAAGACACTAGAGATGATGTATCAGTAGTTCAAAAAGTGGGCTAGGACTAGAGTACAAGGGTATGTTTTGTTTTCTCCTGCTGTTTGATTTAGGACTAAGAATGTACAGTGTTGAATCTCACTATAAAATCTGAAATCCCCTTTTTAGCGTTACTTGTTGCCCCTAAGTTTTTTAATACTTATCATCTGTAAGATGAACAATGCTTGATTTGTATGGTTTTGTGTGTGTGTGTTTAGTTAGAATTAACTTCCTTATTAAATTCATTTTTTGCTTACTTGGAAAATTTTTAAATGTACAGCATCTGAAAAATAATTTTAATTCCTTATAAACTAGACAGATTTCTTCAAAACCAGCAGTTATATATGTAAAAGCAGAGGAACTCTTAGAAAATTATATGTAACATTACCATGCACCCTTGCTATTTTACATGTATGAATATACCTCAGAGGATTGAAAATGTGTCCACATATGGGCCCTCCCTGGTGGAGCAATGGGTTAAGATGCAGCACTGTGAAGCTAGTCGCAGCTGCTTCAGTGAGAGTTGGATCGCGGGCCCTGGAGGTGACCCATGTGGTGCTGCAGACCTCTCCTGTCTTGCCCGCTGCTCCCCACCAGCAGTATACTTCGTCAATGTGCCTGTTCTGCTCTTCACTCTGTCGCTGGTGAATCCTCTCACTGCCCCTGTACTATAAGCATAAATAAATAAATCTTTTTAAAAAAAAGAAAATGTGTCCACACATAAAACATGTACACAGATAGTTGTGGCACCATTATTATTTTCTTTTATTTAAGATTTATTTATTGATGCATACAAGAGCTGGGTGCAGACCAGAGATGTCCGCAGGGGTTGGGGGTGTGACTGCAGAACAGGAGAATTGACAGAAATACACTGTTGAGGGGAGCAGCAGGAGACAGGAGAGGTCTGCTGTGCCATGTGGGTCAGCTCCTTGGCTGGGGAGTGAACTCAAGCCAAGGTGGTGATAGTGCTGAGACTTAACCCCTTTTAATATTCTTACTGCCCTTGAGCTGAATGAGAGATTTGTGGGTTGTTTTGTGTGCATGTATTTTACTGTTTCGGTAAGAGTATGTAAGATTTTTATTACTAAAATTTTATGTGGATAGAAAAAAGTATTTTACTTTGAGATCAACCTTTATTTCACTCTCATAGCAGTCTCTGTGTTTCAGTTTACTATGTATTTTATTTATTTTTAAAAAATATTTATTTATGCATATAAGAATTAGGGTACAGGCCAGAGGTGTGGGGGATGAAAGGATTCACCAGAGACAGAGTGGGGAGCAAAACAGGTAGATCTACTGAAATCCAGTGCTGAAGGGAGCAGTGGGTGACACAGGAGAGGTCTGCCACACCATGTAGGTCAGCTCCCTGGCCAGGGATTGAACTCATGTTACAGTGTCTGTGGACAGCTTCATAGTGCTTCACTTTAACCCCTTGTGCCACCAGGAAGGGTCGTTTGACATCTTTTTGTTTACACTAAATAAACTTGGTTAACACATGGAATGTGCCTATTAAATCACCAGAAGTTACTTAAATTGCTCACAGGCAGGGATATATGTCCCAAGTGGTTTTGTGCATCCTAGCTAGCAGAGATTACCAACTGAAATTCCTTGTGAATTTTATTCTATGTTTGTACTTGGTTAGGAGGAAACTTATAAAAATCTTCTGCCCTTTGTAACTTGCCCTTGGTCTTAACCTTGGACTCCAGTGGTTAAGCAAAGGACAAACAGCTAGTAAGCAATGTGGTAAGTGAGTAAAGGAATTTGGGGGTGGGGTTGGCGAGCCAAGGGTGCCTGTTAAACCAGAATTTAAAAATAACTTTATTAATTCAGCTGGTAAAATTCTTATTTCTAGTTATACTGTAAATTATGTTAAATTTCAGAACATAGAAGTGTTGTGTAGGGTTTTCAGGTTAGATTTGATCTTCATCCTTCAGGACTTATTTCTTATTTTGTTAATCATCAGGAAAAGAAGTTTTATTATTGATGCAAGCCCTCAACACCCTTTCAACTCCAGAAGAGAAGCTGGCTGCTCTGTGTAAGAAATACGCTGACCTTGTGAGTATTAAGTCAGGGGAGGTCCACATAAAGTGCAGTTAAATGCAGATGGGCTTGATGGACTTTTTTAAAATAGGATGTGGTACAATGTGAGATTTAAACAAAATGATTCTTGGGGCTGATGTTCGCTTGTATGATTTCATTGTGTACAGTGATACATATAGAACATGATTATAGTGCTGAGATATGGCATAAATTTTCTAAAAATTGGTCTTCAGAGTATTTCTAAGTCAGCTTTTTTATTTGCATCTTTGGAGTATCTTAGATGCTGGTCAGTTGGGGTGGGCTGTAGTGGTTCCTAGATTTAATTTTCCACAAGGGAATTCTGGAGAAAATGTTTATAACCATAGTGATTGAAATTGGGTGATGAATTAGTGTGGAGAAACAATACTGTGTTTTGGGAAATACTTACTTAGCGTTTAGTATCGGTAGGCATTACTTTCTCCATCTTCCAAAGAAATTGGCTTTCCTTGCACTGAGCCTGTGTTATTTCAAGGAGCATTATTTCTCTTTAGAATTATGTAAGTGGCTTGTTTTCCTCTTTTGGGGACCATGTCTGGAGGCATTCGCACTGCCCAGCGCTGACCCTGTCATAGACTCCCAGAGAACAGTCTGACAGAAGCAGGTCGTGCCAAAGCGTCGGTCATAGAATCGTTCTGCTTAAGACTAGGAGGGTTGTGGAAGCACCAAGGTCTGCATGCAGTATGTGGCCAGGCTCACTTGGGCACCTTCTTATGAGGCCGCCTGAAGTGAAAAGACATGTCAGCCCAGCTCCATGTGTGCTAAATGTGTCCAGGACAGGATCACGCAGGCTTTTATTATTGAGCAGAAAATCATTGTAGAAGTATTGACAGCACAAGCACAGAGCCAGAAAGCTAAACAAAAAATAAGATTTTTTTAGTGAAATTACGAAAGCACTCACTCTGGAAGCCACTGCCATCTGTAAGTTGAAGACCAGGGAAGTCCTGGGACACTTCCTGGGAAGGAAGAGTTGTGGGAAGCTCCGCATGAGCGGTCCTGCTGCGGATGCGGGCTCTGCGGATGCAGACTCTGCGGACCAGCTCACAAGCAGGTGGACTCGTGTCTCCCCTGCTCAAGTAGCTACTCTGGATCATAAAGTTGTTGCTGGCCAGCTTTAAAAAATGAATAGCTTGTGTGAAGTGGTGGTGGGAACTTGATGGGGATTATAGCCACAATGATAAAGCATACTTTGTATAAAAAAGAATGTTGTAAAAAATTAAAAATAGTTTGTCACTCCAAAAATTGCCCTCGGTTGTTTATAAAGGGGTCCATATGTAGCCCACGAATCTGGTATTCAGTAGTCGGGTAGGTGGCAGGCTTTGGCGGCAGGGATGCCCCTGTGAGGGGAGTCACCTGAGGAGCAGTGAAAGGAGTGGGAAAGGGAGAACAAAAAGGGAAACGTTTAACTTGGAGAAAAGAGTTAAAAGCAGTGTGGAGGATTATCCCCTGGCCTGTGTTGTGACGCCAGCCCAGATTCTTTTCTTTACATGCATTTTCTTCTGGGTTCACATTTCTTAAGTGTTTAATAAAGTTAATGACACAACAGAAACCTTAGGCGTCCACAGCCTAAAATATTTTTCCTGGTGCTTTCTAGAAAAAGGTCACTGACCCCTAATCCATAGCTACACACAAATGATGTGGATGAATTTTAGCAATATAATCTACCGCTGTGCTGTCCAAAGCCGTTAGCCACATGTGGTTCTTTAAACTTAAAGAAAATGAAAAAGTTCATTTTTTCAGTTGCACTAGCCACAAGAAGTCAAAACAACTAAAACAAAAGTGATATCTTACAGGGCCAGCAGAGGTGAGATAAAGAGGTGAGCAAAACATGGCTGCAGGATTCGGAAACAAAATTTGGGCGGGGGGGGGGGGGTAGAGGGGCCAGGTAGGTGCCTTTAATAGTTAAAGCTAGCCAGGGAGGGTGTGCTGGGCCACAAGAGGGCGCTCTGGCTCTTAAAATTGTGACTCAGCATCATTTCCTCCTCCCTGAAGAGTCCCTGCGGCTGCCATCTTCTGCTAGTGTGGACTTAACCTTGAAATAGACTAGCTTGCACCAAAGTTAAAGTCGCTATGATTCCTCTCAAGGAACCCTGAACACTGTTTATTAAGTTCTAATTCAGAAGACCATTTCATCAAAGTAGCTTGTGTGTGTGTTTCAGAAAAGTAAAACTTCATGGTGTGGATTCCTAAAAGTTTTCTGAAAACATCACTTTTTCTAATCATTAAACTAAGGAGGTTAAGTTTGTTTTTTTTCTTCTACCCTGAACTGTTTGTTTAGTTTCCTGTCACAACTGGGAGAGATGGTTGCCAGAGTAGCATGGCCCAAGACAATTTAAATGAAACACTGTATATTTGGTCTTTGAAAAAGTGCTCTGTCCTCTTGCTGTATTGCTTCCAGTAATAGCTCAAAGATGTACACTGTACTTTCTAAATGAAAGTGCTTGTTAATTTCAGCTGGAAGAGAGCAGGAATGTTCAGAAGCAAATGAAGATTCTGCAGAAGAAGCAAGCCCAGATCGTGAAAGAGAAAGTTCACTTGCAGAGTGAGCACAGCAAGGCCATCTTGGCAAGAAGCAAACTAGAATCCCTCTGCAGGGAGCTTCAGCGCCACAATAAAACGTTAAAGGTTGGTTGGATCATTTTTCGTTTTTCAGGAGGCACTGACTTAGCATGTTCTAGAATCCCTCTGTACCTATTTGAAATAAATCCTTGTCACTATTCAGAGTTCTGCCCTTGCTTTTTGTTTTGCTTGGCCTGATGTTTCTTAACATCTCTTTTACTTGGTCCTGGGAATGTAGATGAGGCTGGTGTTTAGACCACAGCTCCCCTGCGTGGAGCCCTGGCCTGGGAAGGTCAGTGTGGCCAGTTTTCTGCTGAGCACTGGTCGCTCATTATCCACTATGAGAAGCTGAGGGGACTGAGAAAGGAGTAGGAATCACCTGGAGGTATGGTGAGGCCAGAAGGGAAGACATGCTGAGCTCCTGGTGGGTTGTTGATTGGTTCCAGTGCCAAAGTGCCCTGGCCCATCCAGCTGCCAAGTTATTGAGTACTTTGAGAGTAGCACCTGCACCTCAGCTGATTCTAAGCGAAGAGGCAGCGGGTGCTGTGAAGGTGTAAAGCAAGGAGTCAGGGGCAGACCTGTACTAGTGCCCATGCAGATGCCCTCGTCACACACCCACCATGGTTACCCCTAAGGTGGGGGCCAAGCAGCACTGAAGAAATGGAGCTTCACTTGATAGAGGAGCTGTTCATTTTTTTCTTGGCTTTTTGAACCCTTGGGTCTGTACATTAAAGTGGGTGGTATTTTTTCCCTATAGAAAATTGATGTTTTGATAGGACTGATAACTGTTTAGCCATGTGAAGATCTTTTTTTTTTTTT